TCAGTTAATATGGAGCTAGTATTGTCACTGAATGTAGAATAATAGCATTCAACGACATGGTATATATAAGCAACTAGAACAAAATTAATTTTGGATGTAAAAAGTATTGCAGATCAATGGACTTTTCTCCTGTGTAGCTCCATAAAAAAATTTAGATCAACGAATTGAGTCCTCTATAAGCTGAATGACATCCTTGTTCTTGTTACATGCGTATTTAAGTCATGCAATGCCGCAGTAGCACCAATGAAATAATGTTGGATGAAGAATTTGATACATTTATCAAAGTATACAAAGTATTCGCTAAATCGTATTGAAGGCACTGTAAAGTTGTGGCCCATGTATGTTTGAGCGAAGTTGTGGCCCATGTATGTTTGATCGAAGTTGTGACCCATGTATGTTTGAGCGAAGTTGTGGCCCGTGTATGTTTGAGCGAAGTTGTGGCCCATGCATGTTTGAGCGAAGTTGTGAACCATGTATGTTTGAGCGAAGTTGTGGCCCATGTATGTTTGAGCGAAGTTGTGACCCATGTATGCTTAGAGCGAAGTTGTGGCACATGTATGCTAAGAGCGATTCGAAGTTGTGGCATATGTATGCTTAAAGCAAAGTTGTGGCACATGAATGCTTAGAGCGAAGTTGTGGCACATGTATGCTTAGAGCGAAGTTGTGTTCCGTGTGTGCTTAGAACAAAGTTGTGGCACGTGTATGCATAGAGCAAAGTTGTGGCCCATGTATGCTTAGAGCGAAGTTCTGGCCCATGTATGCTTAGAGCGAAGTTCTGGCCCATGTATGTTTAGAGCGAAGTTGGCTATATATTTAGATACCTTGCGTCGTGACCTCCACTTCATTATGCTCTTACGTTGTCGTCATATTGAAATTCATACCCACATGTTCCTAAATATTTTATCTTTAATTCAAATTAAATAAATAGACTCAATAGACATACATTCATTTTGTCGTTAAGTACAGAGGGAAATTTTATCTTTATATTCTCCCAGGTAAAGTCTGTGAAAAGTTCAAGATTACCTCATTAATAATTTTCTTAGATGAAAATAGATAGTAGATAAAAAAATGATAGTTTAACCCCGCCACATGTTGGTTTGCCTGTTCCACATCAGGAACTTCGTCAGTGTTTGTCTTGTTAGTAAACATCGTATAGTCTTTAACTGATAGTTGTCTCATTGACAATCATAGCATATTGACTTATTTTTATGTAAGGTCAATATATTTCTTTATATTTTTATTTACCTGGAGAAATTTGTAATGACGGTAGATGTTTGATATACGTTTTGAATGTTTTCTCACTTGTTAAAAATGGATGATGATTTAAAGCTGGGTATATTTTTTTTTTATAAACACCTATCTTTTACTGCAGACTGTTTATTGTCCTCCGATGTCTTTTGGTTATTTGTATCGTTGAGTTGCTGTTTCATTGACGTTTCCCAATCTGTCCTTTTGTACATATCATACAAGGTATAAGTTCATTTATATATTTTTGTTGCGTGCTAAACCATAAACAATTAGATGATACAACGGTTCAACCTTCACAGCATCAAATATTTACATTAAAATCTACAAACAAATGTGTCTTCTCGGTAACGAAGATATTTACCATATCATACAAGTGTATGTAATATCACATTTTGTTAACCTGGTCAACACACAACTTTTAAGATTCGAAAGGGACTCTATTAAATTTTATATTTTGTCAACTTGTTCAACACACAACTTTAAAGGCTTGAATTAAACCGACTCTATATTAATACGTCTTTGATTGAAGGAGGATAATGTCGGACGAGACCAGGAATATAAGATGCAAACAAATAGTTATTTCAAACCTACTGGTGATATTAACATTTATGGGTGCAGCTATAGGGTTTGGAATCGGTATAGGAGTTCGGCAGTTTTCTCCGTCAGAGTCTGTACTTATGTGGATAGGTAAGACATTTTCTTATATTTAAGCATTTTCCTACTTTTTTAAAGATGTAAAATGCATGCATGAATCATTGTAAGCGCGTTTAAATTTGAAACACAACTCGGTTATAAATACAATTTCGTTTGTTTTCACTGACAAAACTCAGAGTTACAGGACAAATATATTAGTCCTTTTTCAAATGGCATCTAAATATATAGCAAACTTCGTCCCATAGTTACATATGTAACCAAAGCATATTATAATGTTAAAAGCGATACAGTACGAAAAAGTGGAGGATGAATATCAACATTTGTTTTGTTGTTCAAGAAATGATCTGAGCCTATTTACAAAATGTTTCGTACATTCAACGGTCTTTCACTATGTAGTCTTTTCATATTTGTGATTATCAAGGAGCAATTCTAAATATTTTCAATTTTCATACCAAAATGATAATTAGTATGTGAACTTTAATAATCTAAATATTGCAATCAGTAAATTCTTAGATATGATAACATGCTCAAAACTTGATATATTTTCTTAATTAGGAATCCTTGGAGAAATGTACCTGAACGTATTAAAAATGATGATTGTACCTTTAGTGGCATGTTCAGTAATATCAGGTATGATTATACCTATGTAGGTCTGCTCGGTAAAAAACGAAAAACAAACATTTTAGTATATGTTCTAACTTTCAATTAACGTATTATTGTAAAACTCATATTTGTTTCCCAAAATATAAGACGCAGAGATTGAGCAACAGCAGTGTATCTATAACTTAACACAGACTTTAACAATAAGTTTATCGAGTCAACGATAAAGACTAAAAAGTACAACTCTCCAACTAGTTCTCTTTAAACAAATTATCATCGTAAATAGCTAGATGCAAAATTACCAATTTTTGTTAAAGTCATGCAGATGGAAATGATAAATGTTAAAATTCGTGATAAAATTAAGTAAATTTGGTTTCATATGTATGATTTCTGAATAATACAAATATTACAATTGAATCCGAGACATCACTGCAAACAAACGAACCATCTGAGCATTGTACACTCAAAACTAAGGTGAAAACTGAACATCAATATCAAGGAAAGGAAAATTAACAATAGGATGAAAAGTTGTCTTGTTTTTCGTATAGTTTTGGTATGAAGATAACGTGGAATTCTAATCTAAAGTTTTAAATAGGGACATTGGTCACTGTTAATATTTTGTTTACTTAGATTATATGTTACCTCAAATATAAAAAAAATTCAGGATAAAAAGATCAGACTGTGACATATGATTGATTGATTGATTGTTGTCAGCGGTCTAACATTATAAAAACCAATTTTATCATAGGAAATAAATCAAAAATAAAAATTATTGAAAAATGTTTGAAAGACGGAATGTATCTGCTTAAACAAATGCACATTTGACTCAAAAAGGAATAGGGACAATAATCCTTCTGACAAGGTAATGAAATCTAACCTTTTTACTCGAACGTTCAGATTCCATCTCCCCCAAAAACATTGTAGTGGTTAACATATATTATAAGTTATCTACGTCCATATCTACGGATATGAACGTAGATAACGAATTTATCCCCGGTCTTAGTCCAAACCCGGCGATTTTTAAGAGAAATTTGACCACAAAGTGTAACGAGAAAGCAACGTTTTTTTCATTATTTATAAAAAGTTTTATTGAAATTTGGTAGTTTGACATATTTTCAACGGGGTGTAGGGTACTACCTTTTGTAGGCCCCTACAGGTAGTCAAATATAAGACGTTTTTAATCCAGAGATAGAGAAACTGGAAGGAGTCAAATTTGGCGCTCAATGTTGTGAGAGTTACGTCATAGACGGTGTTACGTCAACGTGGATCATTCACATAGCTAGGTCAGTAGTCCCATTCATTGACAATAAACGTATTTACACTTTTGGTATTTAGCTATATTTTGCCTCCGAATGACCGTAGATCTACTCCGAATCACCTTTTGACGTCAGGCAATAATCACTTTTTAATTGTGACGTCAAATGTTTTGAATTATGATGTCAAAGTTTACGGGAACCTGTGTGATTTTACGTAATGGCGGACAAATTTGCATACAAGTGTAAATACGTCTATGTGGCAGCCAAGTGATGCATTTACTAAAATGAGTGCAAATGATCGGCATAATAGGATAAACTCGTTAGTGGATTAAATATTTAATTACAGACATCATGGATAATCAACAGAATTCAATATTTCAAAAGGAACAACCATGGAACTAAGGAAAACGCGCGTGAAGTTCCCTGGTGCAATGGTTAGCAACGTCCGGGTATATGGGTTAGCAACAACCCGGGCTATGGGTTTTGTAACGACATGCGTTAACCAATCAAAATCCTAGAAATATACTAAGCCGGGGATAAATATATATATTGTAGGAACTGCATCGTTGGATCCGAAATCGAATGGTAAAATTAGTATTGTAAGTCTGACGTTCATCATGATATCAAATTTTGTTCCATGTCTAGTTGGAGTGTTGGTATGTTTAACAATTAAACCAGGTATTTATTTATTTCTTTTTTTTTAATTCATTTTTCTTTTAAGAAACTGAACAAAAATTACGAACGAGATAATGTTCATGAGTACAATAAGTGACCCTCTTTACCTACAATATATGAATTTATACAATAATCTTATTTATTCCATATTGGTATTATTTATGTAGGTTTCTCTATATGAATTGAATTTTGAATAAAAAAGCATATTCACCTGGAGGAAAGTGATATTCACCGCGCTTAACGTCACGCGCTTTTACATGTAACGTTTTGGTAAACTGTGTGATGTACAATTGATTTTGGTAAATATTTGTCATTAATTACACTGTTTTTTCTCGGAATATGGAATAAAACAATTACTGTCTTTTGTTTCGGTAAATATGTGGTTTAATTGACTTTTGAAAAACTGATATTCACTTCGGCCGTCGGCCTCAGTGAATATCAGTTTTTCAAAAGTCAATAAAACCGCATATTTACCTCATCAAAAGACAGTAATTGTATAATATTTAAATTTTCTATTCTTATTTTTTTTTTTCATTTTATAATTTTGCTAAACATCTTCATAGGTGAAATATCTTCAACAAAATCAATTGATGGAAGTAGGAGAACAAACATCCAAACAGAAGACATATTTGCAGATCTTCTAAGGTAAATGATAGGAAATACATTGAGGAGTAATAACACACTATGTCGGGCAAGTCTGTGTCCAAAAGAAAACAATATAATCCGAAAAACATTACACAGAAAAATTCAGCAACACGAAGCCAATCAGAAACTGTGAATGACCCCAGGTGCTCCTGCTCCACCAGTGACATTCGTCGTGTTTCTCATATTACAATTATATTAGTTATAGTCAATAACTAAACTTCATTTCATTGCAGATTGGTAAATATATTTAGTTTCAACCAAAGACGGTGTTACATGAACGGACTGCCACATTTGGACATTCTTTCATTAATTAATGAATATAGTTCTATTATATTTTCCATAATTTTTTGTAGAAACTTATTTCCTGAAAATTTGATATCTGCAACTTTCCAGAAGGTAAAATTTGAAAGTTAAGCTCTTATAAATTACTGGTTATCATGATTAAAATGTATTTTGAAACAAAAAGACCTCGGGATGCGTCATCATGGTCATTGAGACGATAACCCTAAAACAAAAGGAAACAGACAAGACATTTAGCGGACATCTTACAGTTTTCAACAATAGAAAAGTGTCTATACTTTTGGTTAATCGTCTAGTCAAGTTGTGAATTGATTTAACAGAAACGGCATAATGATGTGGGATATATGGTATACACATAAGAAACTCATCAAATATCTACCAACGTAATCGTAAAGATGACAGCATCCAGATTTTGTAATTTATCTATAACTTATATTCATATAACAATTAGTCTTATAACATAGAAATTAAGTCTGATATAAAACATATAACACGGAAAATAAATCGCGAGCATTTATATGAAAAATATTATGATTTACATTTATCAAATGTAGATCTTAATAAAGAGTTATTATGAGTACATCAACCTCGTTTACATCCATACAGGCTCAAACAGGATATCAGACAGAAAACCAACAATACAATGTAACAATTAATGGTACAACAACAACTCTAATGCATTCTGTTGTGATCAGCAAAAAAGTAGAAAAATCATCTAGCACCAATATCTTAGGTCAGCAAGAATATTTGCCTTTTTGTATTTGATGTATGCAAGCATTAAATAAGTATATACCAATAAGTAGATAACTTAAACGTTTTACAGACAAATCCGTTTATCTAGAAATTCCCAGTACCGTTTCAACTTTTTGCTAAAAATGAAACCGTGTCTTTTTGCATTCATTTGCAAAATAGTACAAAATCTATGAATATAGTTTTCAAGGGAATTTTGTCCTCTTTGTTTAGGATCACATGTGTATTCCAAAGGTGAAAGATTAATTAAAACAGACAATTGAAAAAATGATTATAAAAAAGTAAAAAATATTTATGATTTCACAAAGAAAACCGACCTTTTACACTTGATCCTCAAATTGGTAATCTTCAAATGTTTTGACTTCACTATTTCCTTGAAAAGAAAAATTTTGCATCACATTTAATTCATTCCTAAAAGACAAGTGTTCAAACAATGCCAATCGTTTTGAAGAGTTACGATAGTTGACAAACAAATCTTTGTAGGAATCCTTATTGCTAGTTGCATGCTTGGAATCGCTGCTGGAGCAGCAAAAGAAACCGGTCGTCAGTTTGCAAAGTTTTTCTACTCTGCTACTGAAGTTATTCTACTGTTATTGGGGAAAATCATATGGTAAGAAACATTAATTTATCTATTTTTAATGACAATTTCAAATGCGTATTTTCCCGCAGGTATAAATAGTGTTACAAAGTCACATCTAGAGGTCTATGATGTTCAAAAATATTATATAGAAAAAATTGTCAATCCATTTAATAGACCTTAAGATCTTTCATTAATACAAATGATATAAATGCCAAAACATTAAGGTATTAGATGAAAACCACTTCCTGTCGGACAGGTACATGTGGTGGGGTTAAACTTGTTTATTGAGATCTAAATCGTACTCCTTTAAATCGAATACTGAATGAACAAAAAGGTCGTACAAAAAATTAAGTGCAGGAAAAGCACTTAAATCTATAAAACTGGTACAATAGATAACAAAGACCAGAGTTACTAGAAAAACAATAAGAACCATTCTTACAGATCTATAAATACAAATGAATCGATTTAATACCTTTAACATGTTTAAGATCAATATATTGTTTAAAAATACAAGCGATAAGAAAACTACAAAATTGTCTAGAACTTTATGGAATACACGATGGCTTTGGATTTCGGGTTGAGATGGGGTGGTGGTTCTTCAAGTCTGTATTCTTAAGGTGACAGTGTACGTATCTTGTCGAAAGTAGTCTTGGTGCATTTTAGATAATGACACTATGTAAGTATGCTCTTGAAAAAGGCCTCCTTTCGTAGCAACACCAACATGAGTTATGGTGTAAAGGAGGACAATTAACACATTGTATCGACACAGATTAATGTGAGCATCTGCCTATCTAGTTCCAAGCCTGGCCGTGAAGGTCTTACTACCAGAAAGTTAACCTTTTCCAAACACAATTCAATAAAACATTTGAAACACACGCATTCACTTGAATCGCTCATTCTTAAAAAATATCAAAAAGTGCAAAATAAAATACAAAGGAAGGAACAAAATCATCCCGAATGCCGCACAATTCGCAGTTTCAGAATCTAATGCATTCTGGGTAATATTTTCAAAAGCGTAAACCAAAACGTTGTGATTGGTTGAACCCGTACTAAACAATGGAAATTTAATCAATGACGTAACGTTTACATTTTGGTGTACGAACAATGAGATTACCAATAGTCCTTTAGGTTCGAGGCGAATTGACTTGGCAAACCGGAAACTGATAAGGACAAACTTAAATTCCAAACCGATACCGCTTAATGTCGAGCTACATTCCTAGTAAACGGAAAGCCGAAAATCCTACGGAAAGAAACTACCGATCCTTTCAGGGAACAGCTAAAACCCACAGACATCAACAATTTGATCTGATATTTTCCCAGCACATGTCTCACACTAACACGACAATATCTTCAAAAACTTTCCTCAACAACAAAAATAAATCCAAAAATGAAACATACGGTCTAGGATATTAATTTTGTCCATGAAACCAATTTGACAAAACAGTTTCGATGATGTTGCAGGATTTTCTCTGCACAAATTGTCGCGTCTCATCAAAATAAATTGTTTTTCTGTTTAAAATATTTTATGACCAGAAAAATAGGTAAAGCAGTAATTTATACCTCCGAACATTGCATTCCTTATCCCTACTGGTTTTGGTGTTTTTTTCAGGACCACTCCTATTGGAGTCGCAAGTCTAATCGCTAAAACTTTAGCATCAACGAAAAATTTAGAGGACGATTTCAATCGACTTGGACTGTTTATTGCAACTGTTATGGCGGGATTAGGAATACTATCATTCGTTGTACTTCCCATCACCTACTTTATTTTTATTAGAAGGAACCCATTTAAATTTCTCTGGACAATGTTGCAACCAGCTATGATTGTTCTAGCATCAACCAGCACGTAAGAACATATATACTATGCAATAATCATACATTATTAACATAATCATTTTCTAGTGCAATAAGTTAAACGCTGTTGCTGACTTGTATATTCATATTTTCACAAGGTCTAAGTAATGTGTGTAGTTAATTTGACAAATATAGAAAAGGAAAAAGATCACGTAATTGTACAATATTATTTATGCAAAATCAATAAAAAATATTTTTTGTTAACAGTAATCGACTGAAATCTACAATAAGTGTCTCAACTCACTATTGACATGTTTCGCGGTCTTATATCTTTTATATATATCAATATAGTCGTCTGATCTATAATTTTACCAGTTGTGTCCTTTTCCCGATTGTGACATTTTGACTGAGTGAGAATTCGCATTGAGGATGATGCATGTAAAACATGAGACGCTTACCCTGTCGACGCACCTGGTCTCGCTCCTTTTAGAGATTCCTCCAGTTTTTGTTTGTACCTTGATTTTTCTCTTCCTGATAGATTTACGAGACTTGAACATAAACTACCGTCGCTTTAATTAAATAAATACATGTTAACGATTTTAAGGCAAAAGTAAAGCTTAATTGTGTTTAGCAATCTTTTATTTCCGACATCAAAGTTCAAGAAGAGAAATTGCTTTTACTTGTTTTGTTAGAAGATTAGATATTTAAGAATAAAATTGTAGGGTACGCAATGAAAATGTTTATTTTGTGAAATAATTTATTTATGAAATAGTCTTTTTATCAAGTAAAGTACTGTCATCCCTAATTACAATACATATTTAAATTTATAACTTTCGTTGTAGTGCTGTGGCTATGCCGTCTGTCATACAACAGCTGGAAGGTTCTAATCATGTAGATAATAAAATAAGCCGTTTTGTATGTCCTTTAAACGCAGCTATAGGTCGCTGTGGTTCCTGTTTGTATATCTGTGTCTCTTGTTTATTTATAATGCAAATGGTAGACCGAAATATTGATGCAGCTACTGTAATACTAGTTTGGTAAGTCTATTTTAACGTTTATTTGCGTTTTTTAAAAATCGCATACATATGCAAAGTTGAAAGTTGTTTTCATTGCAAGAAAGGAGAAATGTCGATTAAACATAAACATTTGACAAAATTGAAATTTCAGTTATATTTTGTCTTTTATTTTACTGTTTTGGCTAGCTATAAAAGCAAGTTTAACCTACCATTTTCTTCTGAAAATGCCTGATCCAAGTCAAGAATGTGACATATGCATTTGAATTCCACGTGTTCCTTTGATTGATAACGTTTGATTTTGTAAGTTTTATGGACATACTCTTTAATTTGAATTTACATTTCAGTTCAGTATTTTTGTTTTACTATTTTTTTTTTCTTCTTAATTTTCAAAGCATCCTCACAACGTTTTCATCACTAGCCATACCAGCCGTAGCGGGAGCTTCATTGGTGACAGTGATTATTTTACTAACAGCTTTGGGAATACCAGCCGAAGAAGTATCTCTACTATACGCCTTTGAATGGTTCTTGTAAGTAATTCTTGCATTAATGCAAAGGCAGTAACTGCACTAAAAATACATTTTTATCAGTTTATTGGACAATTTTACAATAAACAACACTGCATGTAACGTTGAAAATATGCAAGTATGGGAACGACATAAAATTACTTTGCTGAATCATAAGGGTCAAACAAATAATATATCGAGATCTAAGAAAAATGAAGATGGTGATGTATAAGACATTTATTTCTATTCCGTTATATTTGGAATTTCCCTATTCTATTTCTATCTTTAGACTTGTGGTACAAGTTTGGCTAGTATGTAAATCAGAAGTGGTCTGATGTTACTGTTGTTTTCTGCACGAATATTTCGAGGGCGGTAGTACGGGTGGGGTTTTATAGGCATATATAAGTCCTGATTACGTTTGATTATTATCGATGTGCTCCAGTAACTTTGATAGACGAAGTTAACGTTAAGCTCTGCATAATATGTCCGAGGAAGGCTCCGACCATGATGAACGCCGTGCTACTACTCAACATGCTGAAAATAGTAACGAAACAGAGTTAAGTACGGACGGGGCTATTTCGCTTTTCACTTCAGCTTTAAACAATGCTTTAGAGAAGCAAAAACATTCCTTGATTAATCATTTCGAAGCTCGTTTAGGAAAAAGTGTTAAAGCAACCGGTGTCGACCAACCAGAATTTGTATTCCAAAGTGAGGGAATTAAAGTGCAACATTCGTTTAATACCGAGCGTCTGGAGAGGCTTGCTGCCGTTGAAAGTTGTATAAAGCTTGGAAACGCTTCCGAAGTTAGTGAAATTATTACCCAGGAAAAGGAAATCATCCGTAAGCGTAACAAAATTCTAAAGATAGCCGACAAGCATGGATGGGACACGGTTAAAGAGTACTTGGATAGTCTGTTGGCCGACAATAAAGAAGATGCTAGTGATTTGCGTGCTGCTATTTCCAGGGCTTCTCGTAAAAGAAGTTCCAAGCCGTACAGTAAACCAGAATCTTCCAATAGTGGTTCCGGAAAAGGAGAATTCAATTCCAGGAGTTTTTTTCGTGGCCTTGGCCAAGTCAGTGATACCGAGTTCTCCAAAGCAGGCAAGTCAGAAAGTTACAAGTGTTTCTATTGTAACCAGCCCGGGCCCTTTGCAAGGAACTGCCCCGAAAAAAGGATTCCTACAGCGACAGTTGGTGCACCAAAGTTCCAGGAACAGAACACAGGAAAGACCCAGTAACAAAACAGATACAGACATAGATGAAGTTGAGTATTGTTTTCAATTTGTTAACAAGTATGAGAAAAAATCTTGTCAAAATCTTATAAATGTGAAAGGAAATTTAAGAAAACATGCATTGTTTTGGAAAAATGTACTTAACGCTAATGATTTTATAATGAATGTTATTAATTTTGGTTATAGAATTCCTTTTCTGAGTGAACCACCGACTATTTTTCTAAGTAATAATAGATCCGCGTTAAAACACTCAGAATTTGTGGAAAATTCTATTCAAGAACTTTTAACTAAAGAATGTATAAAAGAAGTAAATCGACCATTTGTCGTTAATCCACTTACTGTGTCGGTAAATAGTACGGGTAAAGAAAGATTAGTCTTAGATTTGAGACATGTTAATAAATTTGTCGAGAAACAAAAAGTTAAATTTGAAGGGGTTAAAGAAGCTATGACATTTGTAAATTTTAGCGGTTTTGGGTTTAAATTTGATTTAAAGTCTGGTTATCACCATATAGAAATTCACCCTGATCATCAAAAATATTTAGGATTTTCTTGGCAATATGGTGATACAGTGCGTTATTTTACTTTTTCGGTTTTGCCTTTTGGACTTTCATCAGCTGGTCATATATTTACCAAGACAGTACGTGTGTTAGTTAAATACTGGAGATCTTTAGGATTTCCCATGGTGGTTTATTTAGATGATGGTATGGGTACAGCAGAAAATTTTGATACATGTTTTGAATTATCGAAAACAGTAAAAAATGATTTACTGCTTTCGGGTTTTATTACTAATACAGAAAAGAGTGTCTGGGAACCAGTACAAAATATTGATTGGTTAGGTTTTGTTTGGAACTTTAAAGATTGTACTTTAGAAATATCGCTTAAAAAATTATTTGCTTTAAAGCTGGTAATATCGAGCGTAGTAGATGGCAAAACTATTTTGACTTATAAATGTATTGCTAAAATATGTGGAAAAATCATTTCTATGATTCCTGCTCTTGGTAACGTTTGTCAAATGATGACGAAGCATATGCATATGCTAGTCTGTTGTAGATCTGCATGGGACGATGTCATCCCTATAAATGACAACATTTTGAAGGAACTAAAATTTTGGTATTTTGAATGCGAGTCATTATCTTTCCAACGCATTGTACCTATAAATAGAATACCACAGCGTGTAATTTTCACTGACGCTAGTCAGTATGCCGGAGCAGGGTTTATAACGAATGATAACAAAATTGTACATTTTATGTTTGATGGTCATGAAAGAAACAAAAGTTCTACATGGAGAGAATTGAAAACTGTAGAAAAGAATATTTCTTCTTTTAAATCTGATTTAACAGGAAAATTTGTTAAACTTTATACAGATAACCAAAATGTAGTACAGATTGTTAAAAAAGGTAGCATGAAAGTAGAATTACAAGACATTGCTTTAAGCTTATTTCATATTTGTTTGTCACATAATATTTTCTTGGATGTTGAATGGATACCTAGAGATAAAAATACTTATGCAGATTATCTGAGCAAAATTTTTGATTATGACGATTGGGGTGTTTCCTATCAAATTTTTATATATTTTGATAAATTATGGGGACCATTCACATGCGATCGTTTTGCAGATTCGAAAAACAAAAAAGTAGACTATTTTAATTCTAGATATTATTCACCAGATACTTCCGGGGTTGATGCTTTCGCATATGATTGGTCTGCTCATAATAACTGGTTAGTTCCACCAGTTTGTTTAGTTAGCAAGTGTTTAAATCACATGCGGTTATGTAAAGCTAAAGGCACTTTAGTTGTACCTAAATGGCCATCAGCATTATTTTGGCCTATCTTAGTGAATAGGTTTTCAGACAGATTTAAATCTTTTGTTATAGACTTTAGAGAGTACGTAAAACCTATGAACTTTTTTACAAAAGGTTCACAAGAAAAGAGTATATTTGCACAGAGACCTTTTAACAGTAATGTATATGTTTTGTTGTTGGATTTCTCGAAGTATTGAGATTTATGCATTGAATGTTGTATACAGACTGTAGTTGATTTAGTTTTCTGCGATGGTTATTTGCCGCAGTTATCAGATATGAGACTATATTCGTAAGAATGTTAAATTTAACATTGTGATGTTTTAACTGCAACAATTAGATATGTCATTGTTAACATTGTTGATTAATTGTTTATGAATACAGTGAGGGTTAATGCCACTGTATATATATAAGTATATGACTTTTTTAGATACTGTGAGGTTGAATGCCACAGTAAGTGTGCGAGGAAAATGCCGCATTCATTTGTTTGCGAGGAAAATGCCGCATTCATTTGTTTGCGAGGGAAATGCCGCATTCATTTGTTTGCGAGGGAAATGCCGCACTGGGTTGTTTGCGAGGGAAATGCCGCATTCATTAATAGTAGTAATCTTAATTATATTTACTTTGTTTATAGTTATTACTTGGTATTCATTATTATATTTATTTTACAGATCAATGGAAACAATTTGAGTGTTATGCCAATGATTCGAGATTTGCCAGTATCATACGAGATTTACCCTCTTTTGTCGAATCGTCTAGATCAAATTCTACAATTAAGAAATACAAGTGCTATTTTAAAAAGTTTGAAAAATGGTGTGTTTCATGTTCACTTGAGTGTTTACCAGCGACAACTACTACGATTTCTATGTATATAGGTGGACTCATTCAACAGGGATCCAGTGTTGCGATTTTAGATGCAAGTTTTTATTCAATAAAATGGTTTCATGACTTTAATTTCAAACATAATCCTTGTTCAGACAAATTCCTTGGTCTTATTTATGAAGGAGGAAGGAGATTGCTAAGTAAACCTATAAACAAAAAAGAACCTATTACGCCAGATATATTAAGGAAAATTGTTTTGAAGTTCGGAGATCATAATAATCTCAAAAAATTGCGTGTAGTAGTATTATTTCTGTTAGGATTTTCTGAATTTTTGAGGTATAGTGAATTGGCTAACATTAAGATGAATAATATTGAGTTTCAAGTCAGTCATGTTAAAATTCGCATTGATAAAAGCAAAACTGATTTATACAGAAGGGGTAATTCTGTTGTTATAGCTGCAACAGGTACAGATTTATGTCCAGTTTTTTGGTTAAATAAGTATATCAATTTAGCTGAATTGAGCAAAAATTCTGATAGCTATATTTTCAGAGCACTGTCTTTTATGAAATCGAAAGATGTTTATAAATTATGTAATATAAATAGTCCATTGTCCTATACCAGAGCGAGAGAAATTTTGTTAGAGAGTTTATCAGATATTGGTTTAGATAAGCTTAAGTTTGGGCTTCATAGTTTGAGAAGTGGTGGCGCTTCTACGGGGGCTAATAGAGGAGTCTCTGATAGGTTACTTAAAGTCCACGGTAGATGGGCTTCTGTTAAAGCCAAAGATGGGTATATTAAAGAAAATTTAAAATCTCAAATGGCTGTTTCCTTGAATCTTGGCATATAGTTCTCAAATTATTTATTCCTTTGTTTTATCGAAGTTACTGCGAGCAAACAAACCTAAATTATGACTTGTCTCTTATTTAGCCATGTATTTAGTATAGAAATGTTTTAAATTCGGACGAATTCATGAGGGAGAATTTAAATATATAAAACAATGAATAACAATAATTGTAGGAACTAGGATTGAAAAATATAACATTTAAATTATTTCAAGTAAACAGATTGTTAAAGTATCAAACATGTAAAAATGCATTGATACAATTAAATGGATGCTTCGAGTAAAAATAGACACAGATATAACGAATTTCAATTTCAGGAGGTTTAAACAACAACAAATTCAGTCTATGAGAAGCCAATCTTTTCGATTTTGTAGCCAGGAAAAGTACAAATATGAATTCACAATTTTTTTTCTTCAAAAGAACAAGGGTAAGGTTTCAAACCACAAAGGAAGCGTTAACTTCAAATTGCTTTATTATTTGTAATTTTGAGATCCATTTAGTTGTATATTTCCAAGTGTATTTATTTCTATTTTTTTGCTGTCATTATTGTTATAGCTAAAGCGTTCTTAATAAATGCAAGTGCGAACCGATCGTAGAATAAGCGGTATATTCTGCGGACATTTACAACCACTGCTTGTGAATGGTATCATCCATGCAGTGGCCAATTTTTAGGCGTTTATCATGATCTATGACTATGCTATGAAGGTAATCTGGTCTATATATCAGCACATGTTTGCTTAATATATTGATATAGTGTACATGTTTTGCTAGAACTAATGTTTTTACTTGTTTATATATTCATAATTAGAAATCTTAGAAAACTGCAAATATGATATATTTATTTTTATACAGGGACCGAATGCGTTCTACTACAAATGTGTTTGTACAAGGGTTATGCGGAGTTATAACTAACAAAATGTGTCAATCGTCCCTCAAGATATTAGAGAAATCTTCCGAAAACAACGTTGTTTATGAGAAGGAAATTGTTACTAAGGAAAAGAAAGATATAACTGTTTCATCAAATATAATTCCTGATTCAGAAACTTCTTATAAACGAGAACTATTTAACGAAAAACTGTGACTCATATATAGAGTATGAATAGTTCATTATGTTACTGGTGTATATTATATAAACGCTCTCATATTTTATGCTTACAAAACAATTAACTTATATTATATAAAAATATAGAACAGAGTAAAACTTATATTATATAAAAATATAGAAGAGAGTAAAAACTATGTATGAAGTCAGAAGGACACAACTACATGTACAAACTAATTGAATAGGAACATGGAATTCACATATGAATAAAATAAAAAATTGAAAACAACATGTTTAATAACTTCATGCGTCCGAAGCGCTTTTCTGGATTTACCTTCATCTGGAACGCTCAAAGCCAAACGTTTGAAATCCGAGGGATGTATAAGTATCGAAACAATTGAAGAGATTTATGACAAAAATACCTAAAACAAATAGCCAAATTCATCTAAGGTCAACTTTGCCTGAGGGAGTTGAAACCTTAGTTTCTTTATAATTTCAAAATTTAACAACGGAAAATTTTTAGAAAGGTTTGTTATAAATCATGTCAGTACCGAAGTACTGACTACTGAGCTGATGATACCCTCGGGGACTGATAGTCCACCAGCAGACGTATCGACCCAGTGATGTAAAAAATTGAAAACAACACGTTTAATAACTTCATGCGTCCGAAGCGCTTTTCTGGATTTACCCTCATCAGGAACGCTCAAAGCCAAACGTTTGAAATCCGAGGGATGTATAAGTCCGAAACAATTTAAGAGCTATATGACAAAAATACCTAAAACAAATAGCCAAATTCATCTAAGGTCAACTTTGCCTGAGGGAGTTGAAACCTTAGTTTCTTTATAATTTCAAAATTTAACAACGGACAATTTTAGAAAGGTTTGTTATAAATCATGTCAGTACCGAAGTACTGACTACTGAGCTGATGATACCCTCGGGGACTGATAGTCCACCAGCAGAGGTATCGACCCATAGGTGTTAAAAATTGAAAACAACACGTTTAATAACTTCATGCGTCCGAAGCGCTTTTCTGGGTTTACCTTCATCAGGAAAATAAAAGATGTGGAGTATACACAAATGAGACAGCGATCCAAAGAATGATTTATCTAAAGGATATCTAGACGGCAACATACAGATGTCAACATCAGACAGGTGTCTATAAAATATGTCAAGCTTTAATAGTCTCGAATCTTTAACACTTTTTCCGAAAATTGTTACCAAGCGCTATAATTTTGTTCTGAAATTAGTTATTGTAGAACATTAGCATCATAGGAGGGACTTCATAATTTATAGTTCATTTAGAAAAAATTAGCCAAAGAAGACTGAGTAAAATGGGTATATTTTACAGAATATATAAAACAACATGATATATAAAATGGGTAGTAAAGAAATACTACATTGTCATAAATCAACACATTAGATATTCCATATTTAACTGTAATTCACATTTTTTATTACAACCTTTCAGCTTATCAAGCATCATTATCACGTTTGGAAATTGATATTATATGTATGTATAAACGTCTCCATTAAATCTACCACTACACAAGGTGAACATTAGCATACATTATATTGATCAGCATCCCCATGACAGTCCCACAAATTGGTCCAAATCTCTTATTTTCTCTTAATTCTCTAACTCCCTGTTTCGATGGGAAATTTTATGTTGCATATCCTTAATTTATATATTTCCCCTATGACTCCGCTTTAATTTCAAGAAGAATTGTTCCTACAGAAATTCCGTTTTAAATTTAAATAAAATTCACCCATTGAATAGTTGTTTATGTCAGAAAACCACTTTAGAATAACTGGATTTGGAGACGCTACTTAGATCATCACAAATTGAGATTATTTATCGTCAAACCTACGAATTTAAATTCCTAAACTCAAAAATGAAAAAGTAGGTTTATACCACAAGAAGATGTTGAAGATAGATAGACCACGCTATAACCTTTAGATAGTGATATTTATAATGACTTCTGTAAATAAAAATAAAAAGAAGGATTCCTTTTAAAGTCTGTTTATTAAAGCAATGTTAAAAAGAACAAAAATGAATACAAAAAGTTACAGTTACAAAATATTAAAAATAAATCATATATGTATATCAAAATGTATAAAACGTTTTCTTTTGCAAAATACACTGATAACATTGAAAACCTCGTATTTGGTAAAATGCATTAACAATTTAACTCCTTTGGATTAAAGTGCATGTTTCTTCCTTTCTCGTCTGAAAATGACCTTTTCTAGTCCCATCATAGGTGATTCAAATGCAAGTGAAGCGATAAATGCAACCGCAAACGACATTACCACGTGTGCGACAAACTCGTATATCTAAAATAAAAAAGTGACATGTATATTGCAAATAATGCTTGTTCTTCGCCTGATCTGCAGATGACCTCTTTGAATCTTTAACCTTTTTCGGAGTAGATTTCTAGGTACACATAGCAGATTTAATTTAATGGATGATGAAAATTTACCATACTACAGTATTGCTATTTACTGTATTACGTGTTCAACTTACATACCTACCCGTAGAAGCACTGATTGCGTACATTTCAGTACTTCAGTTACACAGAGTAAATACACTATGTAATATGATTATAACTTGACAATAATCAATATGGTTATAACTTGACAATAATCAATATGATTAACAAACACACACACACACACACACACACGTCGTAAATAAATTTAACACGGGTTACCAAAAATCTCCAATCATCACCAAATACTGTATAAATTCATTAAATTTCGTTTAGAAACAGAGAAGACACTATAAAGGCAATCGAAATCCGCAATTTTAATATAAACAAAAAATACCATGGAGAAACGAAAAAAATGACGAACAGTATTATTATTAACGATAAACCTACTTGTGTTGGGGACCATACCATTTCCAATGTTATGATTACAGAAGTTAATAGTAAGCAAATGTGAAATGATCTACATTCTTTAGGTATAATTTGTATAATATGCGGAACAGGATCTGCTTACATATTTGGAGCATCTGAAATCAACTCCGGTTTTCGGTAGGGTTCACGTTGATCATTCTTCAGTTTTCAGCTTGTGTCTTGTAGATTGTTTTGTGTTTTTTCGTCGCTTTTCGTTTTTTGTTATGGTACTGGTTATGGTATTGTCATGTGGTCTTTAACTTACATGCATGAGTTTGATTATCCCTTTGGTATCTTTCAACTCTCTTTTGTAGTAAATCAAATCAACGAATTTGAATCCATCATGGTAAACATTTGACATCAGTTTGCTTAGTTAATTTCATCTTGCCCTGTCGACGCACCTGGTCTCGCTCCTTTTGCGATGCCCTTAGTTTTTGTGTGTTACCTTGATTTGTCTGCTCTTAATCGATTTACGAAGTTTGAACATCGGTAAACTACTTTCGCCTTAATTTGAAATCACTAAATGTTTATCACAAAAAAGTGAAACCATAGAAAAATAAATACAATTTAGCGCAGGATTGAGAGTGCTTTCGTCTTAATAAGAATTACCGTCTGGTGGTCATCCCAATATGTCATCTTCTTCTTGGATCCATAATAGTAAAACTGTACCACGGGATGTAATAAATAGGCACAAAACGTCAGCCTACTAAATGGTATAAACATCTTCCAGGATAGTAAAGTATTGATAAAGCCTACGAAAATAAATATAGACGACAAGAAACAGATTTGTATGACATAATGGAAGTTATTGTGTAGGTGAAGTATAGTTCCTTGTGCCACAATGAGACTACTATAACACAATGTGTTATAGTAGTCTTAGTGTCACAGGGCTAAACAAATACAGCTGACTTGCAATGGTAAACACCTTGTTCACAAGCGTTATTTCTTTTAAAAAAGCTGCACATCTCACATATATATTGCTATCTTTCGTTATGTATGTTAAATGCTAATCGGTAAAACATTTCAGCTGAGATGAAAGCGATGTTTTATTGAGACCTCATGACAATAAAACGCCACTGTAATTATTTTATGTGCAATGAACTGCGTTTTTACAAGTACATGTATTTTCCAATTGTCGTGACCACAATCCCGTCATATTTCCTCCATTGTGACATCTCCGGATGAGACATATCATCGGATTAGTACTTGCTTGAGCAATAGGACGGGTGCCACACGCAGAGCAGGGAAAAGTAAAATAACAAAAATACCGAACTCCAAGGGAAATTCAAAACGGAAACTTCTTTATAAAATGGCAAAATCAAAAGCTCAAACACCATTAACGAATGGAAAACAACTGTCATATTCCTGAATTGGTACAGGCATTTCCTTATGTAGAAAATGGTGGATGGACCTGGTTTTATAGCTAGCTTAACCTCTTACTTGTATGACAGTCGCAAAGAATTCCATTATATTGACAACAATGTGTTTGCAAAATACAGACATAATAGGTAAAAATGTCAAATATTGGGGTACAGCTGTCAACTTTTAAATATAATCTTAATCACTATAAAAAAAATTAACTATTTCAACAAAGAAGAACCCCGGATTTTGGTGTGTTTGTGTTGCTCAGGTTTTAGTTTTCTATGTAGTGTTTTGTGGACATTTTTGTTCGTCTGATTATTTTTTTGCCATGGATTTGTCAGTTTTTCTCCCCCCTATGTGTTTTGAATGTTCCTTTGGTATCTTTCACTTTAACAAAAAATAATCTGTATAAAATTTATGCTTTTCACCATTGCTTAACAATTTATTCTATATGTTTTGGACGGAATAATCGAGAATATACCAAATATCACACATACCAAAAGTACTCACCACCATTTCCCGTAGCACACGCAAATATTACCCAACAGATGGCAGCACCCCATGCAGATCTGTGGACCGCGTTGTAAAGAGCAGTAACATCTTCAGACATTGGATTATCGTTGTAGTTTCCATACACTCCATACAATACCAGAACAGCAATTACAGAAAATACTATCCAAAGCAAGAAGTTCAGGTACTGTAACAAAACATTTAATTGAATGATAAGTGGACCATCTTCGGGACGACCAATTCATTAGCAGTATAATCGACAAATGGGGAATTTTTAAATATCCTGTTCATGTGAAAGAGATTACTTGTATGGATCACTTATAAATCACATCAAGTATAAGTTTATTTCGGAAAGACTACGGGAACTTAACATGATGTTGAAATATCTTTAATATGCCATTTTTAAACTGCAGTACTAGAGGTTGTTTGTGTATATCAAAATATTTAGTTTTCTTGTATTTCTCTTTTGACCTTGAGTTATATTCTTATCAATGTTAGCATTATCATGTTATGAAAAAAGAAAGAAAGAAGAATTTATTTGCTAACTCTCTTTATTTCGGAGTATTTCTCTAATTAATTTTATGTTCCTTGCAATATAAGACATTTCAATTTATTCTTTGGTAACTGCAGCACAAAATGAAATGATGACTAGTACAAAATTGCATAGCTTGCATAAACGTAATTTATTTTTAACGTATCGTTTTTAAAAAAAAAAATAATATCTAAACTTGTTATAAAGACTGAGATTTTTTTTATAATTTTATTGAAAAAACTGACCGCCAGATCAAAAGAATAGGTTGTGTACTACAGAATAGTGTTGTTTTCATTAACTTAGAATATCAACATATGGCATTATGTATCACGATTCATGAATATGACTGAAACTAAACTTATATTTAAAACATTGGCCTGGGATAGGAAATGAGAAGTGTTTGTACCCAACTTTGGTATGTTTCACTGAAACTTGTAACATATTAGATCTAAAAATGTATTAGATTAAAATTCATGCAAGTTTTTTTCAAACATTGGATACTGCAAAGAAAAGTTCCAGAAAGGTGTGCTTCACAATGTATCAAAAGGCAGAAGATTTGATCAGGTTAAGAAACGAGTTTTTATCATGAAAAACTAAAAGAAAAGTCACCAGGCGATTTCGATACTGTGAGATGTATCACGGTTGAGCCATTCATTATAAGGGCTGACATATTATTTTAAACAATTTGTCCTAATTAAAAACAATAAGTGGGGACATATGATGTAACTTCAGAACACTATTTTTATTCGATGAAATGCAGTTATCCCGGGAGTTTAAATATTATTTTATCTTATCTGTACACGGTAGCCCACGAGAAATGAATATTTAATTCCAATTGGTCTTCAACAATTACGACAATCACAATATGACACCTATACAATATGAGCTCACAATTGTCACTAAAGAACATAAGTAGGCAACCACTTGCATCGTATATCTAATCAAAGCATCGTTGATGTTGTGATCCAGCCATAGCTAGTCTGATATTCTTTCTGACCATTATTTTTTCTAATTTTTTTCCTGTTTTCATTTTCAATCTTACTGTAAAATTTCTATGTTATTGTCCAAAGTAGGGAATTTTCGCAATATTGATGCAAATATAGATATATATACTGATCTTTCGTTTTAGACTCTGTCAGATTTTATTTTTGACAAGAATGGAAAGGAAAATCCTCAACCAAGTAATATATTTTATATATATGCCATTAATAATGACAGGTTTAATAATTTCCAGAAAGAGGCCTTAAAAATGCACTTTCTCAACAACAAAATATAAAAAAAAATAACTATTTTTTATCTAAATTGGTGTTCATTCTTCATTAAGAAAAAAATTACATTTCCTGTATTCAAATCTAAATGTACAAATACCTAATGCTGAGATATTTGCAATTACTGTTAAATAGCAATATAATGGGATATAAATGTAAAACAAAAAAATACATTTTATTGCAGAAAATGCTCAGGTAAGAGTTATGCAATTTTGTTTAATATTTCAACCAAATTTCTGATAATTGTAACTAATTAATTAGAACTTGATAATTGACTTATGTCAGACGATAATGGCACTGATTTTAAATAAAATTTGCTTGCATTTTTTATACATATTTTTTTCATTTTAAGTATTTTCTTTGAAAAAAAAACATCAGATTAATCATTCAGCTAGCTAGCAAAATTAACAGAATATTTTAATGTAGTGTAGATCAAAATAAATAATACATTTGTTTTTTAGTTAAGTGTGTAATAAATTGTGTCTATTTAATTATGTAACAGGTCATGAGATATGAACTGTTTTGAATTAAGCCTGGGGTTGTTTCTAATTAATACTTATTTGAAAATCATGACAGTTAATAATCATTCTGACTCTTACTTGCCTATGGAAAGAATTGGAGTAATACCATTTCAAAAAAGTGTGGGAATCAACTTAGCTATATTAATACACATGTTGACCTACATTTCATTGAACAAATTAATATAATTTACACAAGAACAAGATACTAATATAATACTTTCAAAATTCTTATCAACTGATTCAATTGATGTACAAATACTTTTTCAAATTAATTCATAAATAGTAAATCATCATAAATTTTGATTTAAAAAGGAACTATATGCAAGTGTATATCTAAAATAAAGTCACTATTCGACCAATCTTTTCTTAATTTAAGGGCAAATAACATGTCAAAAGTTTGCAGTTGATGATTAAAATGGTGTAGAAGGTTTCTACAAGTCATAAAAACACATAATTAGTTTCATGATATGTCTTCAACTTAGTATTCTGCACCATCTCCAAAACCAGAGTGATCGCATAGATCCAGCATGGCTGAATAAAAAAAACTTACCCTGTTAATGCGGTATTTACAGTTACTTTTATACAGGAGATAACCTGTGTACATTCCTAGAAGATAAGGTCCCATTCGACAATACGGCTTCTGATAGTATTCGTTAAAATGTGCGTCACCATTTTTTCTAAAATCAGAAGCAGTACTAAAATCAAATTTTGCAAGAGAATATTCAAATGTATTTATAGGAAACAAAGTATGAATAATAAAGACATGTCAATATCAAGGTGTATTTGACATAACAACTTTGACTCTTTCGTCCTCCCAGGAAAGACACATATCTAAAATTTCTTAGAAAGGTTATAAATGAGACATAATAAAAACACATTTTGCCATTTCAACGCAAATTAGCTGAGCAATAAAAATGTAATAAAAAGTAAAAGAACAAAAATACCGAACTCCAAGGAAAATTCAAAACGGAAAATCCCGTATTTAATGGCAAAATCAAAAGCTCAAACACATCAAACGAATGGAAAACAACTGTCATATTCCTGACTTGGTACACGAATTTTCTGATGTAGAAAATGGTGGATTAAACCTGTGATTAATTATAATAGAGGAGGAAGATATCGAAGGGTCAATTAAAACTGTTTAAGTCGAAGAGTGACTGACGAAATCATGGCAGAAACGAAAAGTGGGATTACGTTACCGCAAATTACTTAAAACCTTATACTCAATTCTTTCATAGTTACTTAAATTATGTGCCATATAGTTAGATCATACTTAAAACCCCCGACTTTATCAAATATTGAACAATTAAAACGAGAAAACGTACGGACTGTTTATGCTAAAATCAATAAACGAAATCAAATATAAAACACTGACAACCACTTATTTACATGATCCATATCTACATCATCCAACGTTGTCCTTTAGAAACATCCAAATCAATATGTACTTAGACTATACAATGATTCTACATAGATGACATGTAAGCAAAAAAAAAACTTTTCTTAAGATTAAGATTGAAAAAAATGAATAAAAGGAGAATGTGTCTGAGGACACGAATGCCCCCGCTAAATCTTTGCAATTTTCCAAGTAAAAAAAGTGGAATAACTCTAGAACAGTAAATGACTCCCTGTTTGGATTCGAATCCTATATGCGTTTTGTAGTTTTAAGCATTGTGTATGAGTTTCATAAAATTTGGATGAAGCGAATTTAAGTCAGAGTGCGGAAATGAAAATAAATGCAATTGTCCAAGTTATAAAGGGGCATAACTTTAGAACGGTAGATGACTCGCTTCCAAAATTCGAATTCTGTCTGCAAGTTTTAATTTGTAACATTGTGTATGAGTTTCATAAAATTTACACGAGGCAAACCTCAGTTAGAGTGCGGAAACGAAAATGGGACGGACGGACGGACGGAAAGACGGCTGATCAAGGGAAAGGCGGAGGCATAAAAACATAGAAAATAATCAATGACGCTAAGCATGTAAACAATTCTACAAAGACACAATGCAAATAAAATTCCTCAAAACCTACTTTAATTTAATGCTTTACTCTATGATTTGGAAATTTTATACATCAACTCTATTGTCTGAAAACTATAGAGCATCCTGTTCGAATAAACAATTAAATTGTGATTCCTTTTCCAGTATTCTTATAAAACTTACCCGAACGTGGAAACTCCAAGTTCAAAATGCTTAGATACAATCCCTGATGCTATTGATGTTGCAAGCAAAAAAATGCTTATAACAATTGTACCTGCTATCTTCGAACTACATATACAAATTAAAAAGAAGAAAATGAGCATAGTTTTTGAATATACAAGATAATTTGGTAAACATTTATATGAGGTTATACAAACGTATAAACTAGTAGGTACATATAGACGTTGACAAAATGTCAAGTTAATTCACACTTGAGAAAACATTCTTATAGCATTAGATTGATTGATTGTTGGTTGCTTTACGCCGCATTAGCACTATAGCATTAGAAACGAAGCGGATGAGAACACTGAAAATAAATTAAAAAGAAGATGATATTTTTTCAAAAACTTTTCGGCAAGAAACAATCTGGCTCGGTGAATTAGATGAAGAGTGCTCGCTTCAAGTGCGGAAGGTAGTTGGTTCGATACCCGGCTGAGTCAAACCGAAATGATGATGATGATGATCATCGTCATCGTCATCATCATCATCATCGTCATCATCGTCATTATCGTCGTCATCATCATCATCATCATCATCGTCGTCGTCGTCGTCATCATCATCATCATCATCATCATCATCATCATCATCATCATCATCATCATCATCATCATCATCACATCATCAGACTCATACTAATTAGTAGTAAAAAATGTCATTGTGAATATCCAGTACATAAATACGGTCAACATCTTAACTTATCAAGTCCATTTGATAACAATAAGAATAAAAGTATAAATCGATGATACTTACAAATAAAGAGGTAGGATAATGATTGGACTGATTATATAAAACTGCATATCATTTGCTAAATACCAAGCCCAGGCAAAACACTACAAAAATATAAATAAACCTGGTTTTAATAGAAAGGTCAAATGTTTATTATTGTGTGCGAGTGTATATTATGTATTCATACTTGGATCTTGAAATGGTACATATGTTTCAGGACCTTTTTATCCACATTCTTATACCGTTCGAATCGAAATAAAAAAGCTAGGCAAAACAGATATTATGCATCGTATTACATCTCTTTGTAAATAAATTCATGTGATAAAGAAGGGTGAAAATATCAATCATGTTTTACATATTTGCAGATTTAAATAACACCGGCTCATCACAACACAATCTTAATAGGATAATATTGCTGAAATGTATACTAACCTCTTCACTAACTGGTTTAAAGTTATTTATGTATAACAGATTCCACCACCACGTGTTTTGACAGTAATTTTTCTCGAAGCCATCCTTGGGCCAGAAAGGTCCGTTTCCAATGTAAGGCAATACTGCTATATAAATCCCCATAATCAACATGTAGGGAGGAGTTAATCTAATTAGAACAAGTAAAGTAAACAGAACATTTAAAACAAACATTATGAAAAAATATAATTAAGTTCTAGTTTTGGAAAATCATGAAATACACTTACTTGTATGTTTCAGATATTAAAAAATGAAAGAGCCCATTACACTTAAAACCTTATGTCAATGGTCAATGATTATTTGTTGATTTATATCAAAGTTTAAAGTAAATAACCATTCTACATTTCCATTGAATTGTGTTTGTTTGTACTAAAAATAGATGAAGTCGAACTAATTTTTGGAGTTTTGATAACAAACATGTAAGGTAGCAAAGGTTGCATGAACACTTAGAGCTAATTTCCTAATGCTTGCAGACTAAGACTTTGGTTGGCTTGCTTGCTTTGTTTGTACAAAAGTTTGCTCAAGCATTGTAATTAAGATTGAAATCTGCAAACAATATAATAGGCGGAGATCTACATTATACTTAAATTTGATTGATGTTATCCTGGAAGTTAGGAATCTAAATATAATATATACTGGTTTAACTGCTTTATATTTATATTGTTTGCAGATGTCAATCTTAATCATAATACGTTAGCAAACCTTTATACAAACACTGTAAGTAGGCAAATCAAAGTGTTACTCTACATGCATAAGGAAATTAGCTCCAACAGTAAATTCTTCAAATCTTATATTCATGATGTTTATACATATTAATCATAATTTAAGACAGCATTTTAATTGTCATTTTGCGGAAGGAAAAAGAAAGAAACACATATGTTTCTAACATGTAAGTTATATACTTAAGGCATTTTCAAAAAACAATGTATAAGTAGGTTTTGATTATATTGCATATTTTAATGTCGCTTATGACTTAATTTAAAAAATTCAGTTGTCACGTAAAGTATAGCTTACGATGGGTATAACAATATGTTAATCATTTAATTAATTAAAAATCAAGAATGACAGACAAACCTACCACTAAATACTTCAAACAATTTACCAAAGAAAAGGAAAAAAATCCAAAATGTCATTTTGTCTTTTAAAAATCTTTAAAAAAATGATTTATTTCCCTTTGAACAGAAATCTCCTAATTAATAAGTATTTCATCAAAAATTTAATTAATTAAAAATACTCATTTACCTCCTTTTATGTTATCATTTTGTTTCCTACCAACCTCCAAAAAAGATGAAAATAGAACAGGAACCAGTTAATCTTTCCTTTGCTATTCTTCATCTGTTTCAGAGTTAAATAGGTTAACAGGAGATCACTATAATCTACTAATTAATAAATATTTCATCAAAATGTAATTAATTAAAAATACTCATCTATTTCTTTTTATGTTATCATTTTGTTTCCTACCAACCTCCAAAAACGATGAAAATAGAACAGGAACCAGTTAATCTTTCCTTTGCTTTTCTTCATCTGCTTCAGAGTTAAATAGGTTAACAGAAGACCACTAAAATATAACATGAAATTCTATAACATACTTAAATACATTAAAAAAAATCAGGATAACAAATAATAAGTTCAAGCTCCATGCTCCCTTCTCAAATTAAATGGCCATTTCCCAAGCATCGAAATCTGAACAACTTATATTAAATTTTGGAGATATCAATTAGATTCTTTGTCAGTTTTTGAAGTTTCTCTCTATTCAAAATTGATCTCAATCTAATTAAAATGTAGAACTCTGGTTTCATACAGAGTTCTATATTTTAATTAGATTGAATTGATCTGAAACGTTAAACGTTCATACAAATAAGCATTATTAATATATCCAAAAAGAAATTGTTTGACAATTTTGATGTTTTACGTTATCAAGAAATAGACTCTCCAAGAATTTTTGTCCTTATCGGATTTTCCTTATCTTCTTCAGTTTTAAGACATATGAAAGCTCGTAACATTTGAAAGGAAGTTTGAACATTTTGTTTGAAATCTTAAATGGTCATTTGAAAAAAAAAATGCCTGCAAAACAAAGACAAAGCCACAACTTAAAATACAAAGCAAACTTAAAACGTGCAAAGAATATTTTGTCTAAATCAATAGCTTAAATTTCATCTACATGTATCTATACTTTCATTAAACTCATACCTGAGCGCAAAGAACGTATCTACAGCAACCAGGGCATTTACGACAGCCATAAATGAGAGCCTCTTTATATAGGTTGGAAACATCGTGGCAATATTTTCTACAGTAAAAATAAATAAATTGGCAAACAAACAATTATTTTTTTTCAAAACATAGAGGAACAAGTTTTTATAGCCCCGCAACAAAGTTGTCGGGACTATTTAGTTTTACCCTTATCCGTCATTCCGTCATTCTGTTATTCCGTCATTCCACAACGAACAGAAGGACTTTCATTTTCTAATTTCCACTTTTAAAATTGGCTTCAAGCTTTTTTCTTTTGCGAGCGGGGACATTCGTGTCACTCCGACACATCTAGTTTATGCTAATTTCAAAGGAAACAAATTTGTTTCACTTCCCTCTAGGAACAAATTGGAATACATACAGTCAGATAGAAATACGGAAATATACACAGATTGGATTGACAGATAAGCGGACGGATTAAAAGACGGATGTTCAGACGAGGTGATCCTTTGAGCTCAATTCATTGGATAAAAAATATACCCTCCATATTTGAAAGAAACTGTTTTGTAACGATTAAACGACAAGCAACCTCAAAGTTAACAAATGCTAGTTTTTGTCTGAAATATTAACTTTGTTATTGAATTAGCCAACTTTTAAATCTTTTAATAATGCATACCTACGCTGCCCTGCATAAATCCAAATACAAATGTATGACCCAGTATTATCCATGTCATACTAATGAATCTGATACCGTTGATAGCTGTTAAAGTCCCAGCTGATTGGTTTGTGCTTAGAATCTTGGAACCATTCGTGTATACGGAAAAGGATAACAGTAATTGTCCAAGGATCCCTATTAACACAAAGAAAGGAAAGTCACTCACATCATTTTCAGAAATTCTAATATCTGTATAACAATAAAACACCTAGGTATGTCTATTATATTTAAGGGGCTTCAACACTGGGGATGTGAGCTCGAACCCCGCAAGTAACAGGTGCGTTCGACTCCAATCTGAATTGACTAAGTATGCCAGTTTTCCTTACAAAGATTTTTGGTTCTCTCCGGACATTCCTGGTTTTTTCATAAATAAAATCTGGCCACCACGAAATAGCCAATGGTGTTAAAAGTGGTGTTAAACACAAAACAAATCAATCAATGACGCAATCTATCATATTTTAATCGACACTTTCACTGTTCTAAAAGAACTTAAGGAACCGATGCACTGTAAATTCAATGCTGTTTTAATTCATTTATTGTGTATGTGGTCTTTTTAATGTACATAGGTTAATTTGTAGTCATTCTGATGTAAAGAATATACATACAATTTAAATGAAAAATATTGTGTGTTTAATTTAAAATTACAATTCATAGATCATGCCAATCGTTCTTGCTGAACAAGAGATAGAAACTTTAAGTGTATATGCTTCGACGTTTTTCCCCCCAGACAAACCATTTACACGATATAATTTTCAGCCTCGGTTACCTTTATAGAAAATATGGCCATGCATGACTTCTATTAGTATTAATAGATCAATGTTGGAAAAATGCGTGGTGGACAAGACTTTAACTTATCTTTTACTTTCAGATCAGTTGATACGAATAGAGTTCAAATTCAAAATCAATAGAAAATTTGGAAGTCAATGTATTGTGTAAAAATACTAGAGCTATAGAGTAAATGTTCGTACATATGGTCTTATTATCTTATTATCTTATGGCAAACATTAAAACATTTTTCTTCGATATTTCATTTTCAAAATTTAAAATGCCCAGTAAGCCTTTCTCAAGAGCTACGTTTTTAAATTTAATCACTGAGTAAGCCTTTCAAATTTTATTGAACACTATGCGCAACAGGTTTTCAAAGTAAAAAAATATGACCTTATCTATTTTGTTCACCAAATCTATATATCAATACCCTGTACCGTGCTGATTGGTTGGTTTCTCTTCTTCATTGATACTTTGTTCTCTTGTACTAAATACTGCTGGAATATTTGCGTTTTTGGAATAGGCTTCCTCTTTTATTGCATCTGTCTCTTGTGTTTCATTAGTTGAAGAATTAACCGTATATTTACTTGTCTTGTTACGTTTTATTATGTGTCTTGTGATTATGTCATAGATTGTTGCTATTGTCATAACAACAACAAAGACAGAACAAACTGAACTGAAACAGAGATTTTAAAATAATGATAGAAATAGGACATATTAAGAATGTTAAACTATCAATATGCCAGCCCATCGTAGGTCAACAATTTAATCTGAAAAATGTGTCCAAATTGGAAATACCATCATAGGATCCAAATTGGAAATACCATTTTAGGATCCTAAATATTTGTAATAATAAGTAATTGAGTTTTAAAAGCTTGTAATTATTCTTTAGTTTGTTTAGGAAATTTTTTCTTGTCATTGTCTTAACAAGTCCCTAGCCAGTTTAGTAGTTACATAATTATATGTCAACAACTCGGTCAAAGGGTTAACGCTTATTTTGCCGATATAAAGGTATATATTATAGTAGGTCAAAGGTGAAGACTAATGGTACAGTGCTAGTAATATAAAACATGAAAACTGTTATGCAAAACAAGAATAAGTATTGCTTCGAATTAAGAAGTAAACATTTTATATCATATATAAATAATTTGTATCGTTTTCAAACGTCAGGGAAAAACTATAAACGCAGAGATTATTGTTTATTCTAAAATGAAACTAATGCTTTATTACTTTCGTGCGTCCGAAGTACTTTTCTGGATTGACCTTCATCAGGATGGCTCAAACCCAAATATTAGAAAGCCCCGGATGTAAAAGACATAAACATGTAAAGAGCTATATGACCAAAAAGATACCTAAACAAATAGCCTAATTTATCAAAAGTCAATTTTGCCTAAGGGAGTTGGAACATTAGTTCCATAATTTTTTTCTAAATTTCTAAATAACAGTTTGTTAAAAATCCTAATATTTTTTCAGGGTCAAGCTTCTTTGAATCTTTTTCACACCAGGCCCACTTCACAGACGTCTGTCAATCTCATATTTATACTCTAAGGTTCCTATAACAATATTAGCATTTCTGTGACATCATTACCATTGAATCTAACATTGCATGTCTAATTAATTTATTTTCTTATTTCCTGTATATTTCTCTTTAGGACCAAACATGAGCCTGGATTGTGCACTTATACTTACATCAGGGCTATAGCTCTGGTATCAAGTTTACGACCTGGTTCCTGGATACTTACATAAGGGCTATAGCCCTGGTATCAAGTTTACGACCTGGTTCCTGGATACTTATATAAGGGCTATAGCTCAGGTATCAAGCTTACGACCTGGTTCCAGGATACTTACATAAGGGCTATAGCTCTGGTATCAAGTTTTCGACCTGGTTTCTGGATACTTACATAACGGCTATAGCTCTGGTATCAAGTTTACGACCTGGTTCCTGGCAAGTTAAATCATAAGCATATATTCGGTTGTTGGTCAATTTAGGGACGACTGAAATAAGAATTGACATCCTAAGGAAGTTTTCCAACTCTATAGATAAAATTAAAGGTTTTATATGGTAAAAAGACACTTTGTGACACATCGCTTAATTTCAGCCACATTTGAAGCTGTAGGGTAATTGTAAACATCTGCAGTTCTCGCGATACTGATTTTGCAACATTAATGAATTAAGCCTCAACGCTATTTACCAAAGTTGGTAGACTGATAAACAACTAAGGGTCGTCCGAACTTGCAGTCACGTGAGAGCTTTTAAACCATTTTGAAGTCTCCAAAAAAGTCAAAGGCCCAAATAAAGTTACAAACTATTTAATCATAATATGAAATATTTTAATGACAAAATAATTTCAATTCATTAATAAATCTTTCTCTTTTGCTATAGATCATATATTGTACTGAAAATTGTTCATGGTCATTCTACAAAGCGTCTAACGTCCATTAATATTACAACTATGAAAATATTTTGTAATTTGTGTAGAATATAATATACCTGCACTTAACATTACAAGTTCTTCTTCTTTCGTACAAGTATCAGGTATACACATTCCAATTTTAATTGAAACTCCATCCGCTTGTGTTACCTAAAATATAGAATTTACAGTAAAACAGAATAATTGACAAGTACTTTTCAGCACAATCCCCCCTTTATGTAAAAAATAAGCACGAATTTCAAATGTTCTGCACATTTAAGCAAGTCTTTAAGATACTATGTATAAATTACTTGTCCTGTTTTACATTAACAAATCATCGAAATGTTCTAATAAACAAGTCCGAAATACTTCTTAGTCACTCTAAGTATTATAAATCAAACAAAATTCAGCACAAGTATACAGAATGACTACAAAATTTATAGAAGAAGATGAAGATGTTTTATTTCAATTAAATGGGCTCACAAGGAGCATAGTACAATATAAGACATTAATAAGACAATAACAAAAAGAAACAACAATAGTCTAGTATACATACAAAGAAAAGAAAAGGCAGTTTGAACATCTTGAACTACACACATATATAAATATATATAAATATACGTTCAACAGTGTTTCCCTTCCTTCTCGGGTACACCTCAACATGAAAAAAAATCCTAAGATAAATTGGCAATGTATTGGATATTTAACTTAACTGCAAAAGCCACGGTGCTGCATGACAAGGTGGGAGATAGACTCACATGGTATACATGAATGTAATATAGATAATTTGGTTATGATAGTATGAGCAGATGCACAAACCTAGTATGTCATCATCGTGTCTGATGCAGAATAGGTTGTTACATATTGTAAGATGACCCGACTGCAGGAGGCACCAAAGGACGATGCCAAATGACATGCCCAAGTTTTCATAGTACGAAATAGAAAAATACTTAAATATAGTATATATGGGAATAATTCTGATTGTAAATGATAAAATAAATACCGGTACAAGAAGGTACATTATTATTATTATAGGTGAGTCCAGGTTACCAACATGCTATCCTCTTCCTGATGCAGATAAGCTAGATCTATATTTTGCCTTCATCAATCAGATCACAAACAGATATTAATATATCAACATTCTTTACATTTATATGCATTGTAGAAATATATCATTGAACGATGCAAAAAGTTTCAACTATGAAATTATTAAGCAAAAACAGAAAGAAAAAAAACAACAAAAAATTCTGCATTGCATTGATTCGGACATATAATTTGTAGTATGTTTTACCGGATTTGGAATTCCTGTTATCCAAAAAGAACCTAGACAGTATTTTCCTTTAAACGTTTCGGCTGTAATACGAAGACATTCTTCATAATCTCCTTCCCAGGTTAAAATAAAATTCATCAGTCCCGATGGAGGCTTTCCGTTAGCATCGATCACTAAAATAACAAAAAAGAACATCATCGAAACCAATGTCGAAACTTTCAAGACGATTTAGAGCTAAACATATGGTAAAGACAATATTGCATGTTTTGAAGACCATTTCGGTTTTGATGTAGTAATGGGTTTCTGCCTTGTTGAGATATACCCCCTCGATTATCTTATCTTTATTCTATGAAAGGAAAATAAACCTTTAACTTTTTTAATTCTGTTTATTAGAACAGTGGTCAAGATATATATTTTGAAAAAAAAAACTACGAGTGACATCGAAATTTCAGGTCAAATATGCAAATTTCGACATTTTTTACGTCATTATATGATGAACTATTCTGCATGTAAATGCATATAGTATATCTGCATCTTCATTTATCAATAAAATTGACATATTTATTTTGAAAGGCTTGATCAATTTTACCATTTTTGCAATTTAAGGAGAAAAATAATTATCCTACTTTTTTTTCGCTTTAATGTTACATATATATTTTTGCAAAGTGCTCTCTTTTAAATCGTGTTCGTATTATTTCATCTCTCGGTGGTTTCTTCTTGCACACCATACGATATAAGTTTTACTCATTGTTGAAGACCGTACAGTGCACATGGTAGTTTATATCATTGTCATTAGGTATTTTGCCACATTGGCAATCGTGCCACATCTCTTTATTAATATCATATGTTATGTTTCATTTACAAAGTGGATTAACCAAAAGGTCAACTGAGTTTCCCTCTTTCTTTTGCATACCTTATAAACTACGCTAATCTATTCCTCTGGAACATTTGGACAAATCGGATTACATTCCTATCATTACAGCCGTGACTGTAAATGGCGATGAGGGGTAAAAAAGGCAAAATGTTAAGTTATAACCAAACTTGCTTATTTTGCTGATTTTTGTAATATAGTACTGTTCATACAGCATTACATTTTAATATTGATGCATAAAAGCCCGTCGGTAACTCTGGCGTGAATTGCATCTTGACGAGAATTACGCGCTGATTAGTAGAACTAAAATTTGGTTTCAACCATATACTGTTTTTTACAATAATGGAACGACCATATTCTTCGGTTAGGGAGGAGGATTTATTGCGGATTGACTATTCATTTTTTATCTGTTGCTACGCATGCTTATTTTTTTTCCACGGCTTCGACGCACCAAAGTTTATTCTCGCTTTTGTACACATTTGTTTCCTTCAGTTTGTGTTGCAGAATATTCATTTTCATCATGTCGTATTATTATCTGAGATTATTATACGGTCGTCCCCTAAACACAAAAAACTCCCACAACTTCTCTTATAGTTGTTCATCAAATAAAAAGAGTATAAACATTTGTATATAGATATTTAATGAAACATGACAATATAAAAAATATGTTACATCTTGACACAATGTACTACTCACTTCTTAAGGCCCAATCTTTCGATTTTTCCACTCCGGGAACAATGCTTTTGGTATCATTTAAACATTTCGAAGATTTTTTTTTTGATGGATCACTCGTCTTCATTAAATTGCTGATGTCTATAACATTTGCATTATTTGTAATTGATGATAAGATTTCTTGCACATCAAACTTTGCTAACACACCATTCAATTGTGCGTTTGTTTGTATAAATTCCGACTTATTCGCGACTTTATTCACTGTTTCAAAAGCAGACCTGACATTGGTCAACATATCATCGTAATTGTCCGTTATAGCATTTGTAATGGGTACCGTCTCGTTGTTATTCTTTATTTTATTGAATGCGAGAGCCACATTTTTAACTACATCTGCTAAACTTAGTTTTGTTGTGTCGTTATTCGCAGAACAGTCGTTTAAAAACAACAGCAAAATGCATGTAAATCCAAGATATTTCATAGTAAGCACGTATATAAATTTTTATTCTCCTTTCATATGTTATAGCATCACTAAACACATTTATTAAATGGTTAACCTATTTATGAAATATTTTACGGTGTAAACATTAACGTTATGGATGAATCCACCATTACAATTAGTGAGGTCACGTGTTCACACAGTCCGTGACCTGGCTTAACAGGAGATTAGGATCACGAAGTTTCAAGAGATTATTTTTGTCAAACCATGGATGCAGTCATACTGATCAAATGGGCTATGAAAAAATAATATAACGGATTGGTGGCAATTGCAGCATTTCCTCCATGTTTTTCTTTTTCGAGTTCATAATAAATAAGAATATGTGAAACTGTGTATTGTTGTTTGTTTGTACATCCGATTGTAAATCTAAAATTGTTACTGCCAACGGCAGGTCCACGATGATTGAAACAAATTTAATAATCAACATAAGGATTAATTATCATTTGAAGAAACAGAAACATTAATACAAATTGAAGTATTTTTACAAGTTTTGACTGTAAGAAAGTGATGTTGACATAACATAATCTTAATGGTTTGCTATGAGTGCATTTCTTTCTAACACAAACGATGCAAACGGCTAAGCGCGCACATGTTTCAATCATTTGTTTCTAACATACGTTTGCAAAGTTTACATAAACTTTGACAAACTATGCACTCGCTAAAAGTGCGTCTACAGTTTGTCGTTCATCGTTTGTTAGTACGAACGCTACATTTGTTTCTAACTTCAACTTTGAATTTAAGTAAAATTATAAGAAAACATTGGAACAATCTGCAAAAAGACAAACAATGCAGTGAAATCTTCGCCCTAGTGCCTATCATATCGTATAAACGTAACAAAAATATAAACGAATAACTTGCTAAATCAAGGCAATAGTTGGGAGACTTTTGAAAAGGGACCATTGATGCTTTAAGAGTCTAAGCAAAGAATCCCGAAACACTGTTAGTAATAATCTTAATTATAGGCAACAAACTTTCATACTTATGAAACAGAAAAAACGGTGTAAAGTCTTGAGATTTATTACTATGTTGGTTGAAGGAACCGCATTTTATTATAGCCGCGTAATAAGTCTGTTTACCAACAACATGTGCATGCATTATTGGAAGCTCGATCAGGGTCAGTAAACACTGATTAAACGATGTTTTTGTTTCTACTTTTGTAGCGTTTAGCAGACGATAACAAACGCCACACAACGTTTACAAAATTTAGGTTAGAAAGAAATGCACTCTATATAGTAAAAATTCTACTTTAAGACGTACAAGTTTGAATTTTGAAACTTATAGGTAAGTCATGGTTTTAAAATCATTAAGAATTAAAGTAAAATATTTTTATACAAGTTAAACTGAAATAAAGATAATGAATAGTTTTCATAGGTACAGTTATATCAAAAATATTTTTTTATTTTCTTTTAAGGAAAATATAATTGGAAATATTTGGTTTATCTCATTGTTGTTTGTAACTGTTTTGTATTCTTTTCGTGTTTATTTATTTTATTTATTAAAAGCTTGAATTTTGAAACTTATAGGTGTTAGTCGATCTCGGCCTGCCTCTTCATCGGCAACGACACCCGGCCTGCCTCTACATCGACAGCAATGCCATACACCATCGTAGGCATTGTCGACGGCTAGTTACCCCCGAAATAGCAGTTCTTCTTTCTAGAGTCAATACAATAGCTAACTTCACAACAAACCAACACGGATATATAACATCTGCATCTACGCGGAAAGCAACGTCTTCCATCATTTTTTTACTTATGTTGACAGTATGGGTCTAGAAGGATTAACTCATTCAGTCGACCTATAGCATTATAACACATTCAGTCGACCAAGCATATAACTAACTCCGTAGATCAACAATACTATATAAAATCAAACAGATATCAACGTATTCATTCTTCTACACAATATACGTCATCCTACTTTTTATTACAATAAATGCATATTCAGTGACTTTTAAATTTGAATCTGATTTATGCCAGGGTTTTTAGGAACGTATATTTGAAAGCCATTCTATGTAAGGCAGATACTTTAGTACCCTATATGTATTGATGTCATAATAGTTACTCTGACATTCTTCATTCATTAAAGTATTGTTTCAAACCAATAATTCTGCTTTATTTTTACTATTCATTTTCATCTGTTGCTACGCATGCTTATTATTTTCTACAACTGTTTCCTGCATTTCGTGTTGCGGAATAATTACATTCACCCTTTCTTATGCAAAGCTTTTTATTTTGAGCTCTTAACCAGACCCGAATAATAATTTTCCAAATCCTCCTGACACAATTTCCTTTCCAAGTCCCTAAGTCGTAATCCTCAGAACGGAGATAATTCCGTAAGTTCGTATTTTGTATCAAATTATGAAACTCAAACTCAAATATAAATATTCAAAAATTAAAATGAAAAACCCCGCAAAAACTGTCGTCTTCTCTGAAAATCTTATGTACAAACAACAGTCCTCAATTAACCTCAATCTGCATAAGCAGCATCTTTCGGCGGAGGACATTTTAGCGCATTGATGGGACATTTTAGTGAAAACATCGGATGTTTTAGCGCCAGAGTATAGCACCAAATATAATCCGCGTAACGGGTTATTTAAGTGTGTGCACCACATTTTTGAGGTTATTTCTTCATAGACTACGCGGGTTATTCAGTGTACGCCACATTTTTGATGTTACTTCTTTATAGCCAGAAAAAATATTACAGTCATAACTTAAACAGCACTAACACACTCACAGTGAACGTACCAAAATGTCCCTTGATATACCCCCTGTACAGAACCAGTTATTCTTAAAATTGTGACGAGAACTGTCCCTTCTCTTTATTTTATCTAGATATGGGTGCAGATTCATCTATACTTCTAATTCTAATATATGAGTTGCGTCGAATAGAAATCGACCTTATGCAAGTGCACGTATACATGTGCATATATTAGATTTTGATTGATTTTGGAACATCAAATACGAAATAAAAGATTAATGTTTTGTAGGGTTTTTGTAACAACTCAATTTTCAAACAGTTACAGACTTTGCATAGAAATTTTTTCAACCCGAAATAGGTTTACAGATGTATTGATATTAATTTGTATAAGGACGATTTCTATCCGCCGCAGCTCATATG